AGCTCTATACTTTTCAACGGTTTGATTTCAGGGAGAAATTTTACCTGAATTAAGGCTCACCTATTAAATGTATTGTTCCCATCCCTGTCCCCCCTCAAACAAAGGAGCACGTTAATAGCACTCACTCCTAACAAAGTAACAAAGAACAGACTAAAGTGGCCATACTGGCTGTGTGCTAGTGACACCTGACAGAATTTAGCAAAATAATTTAAGATTGTATTCAATACTTAGATCCCATTTGTAAGCAACTCAGAAAGGACTGCCTTAGAATTTGTTTTAACCTTGAACTCGTTCCAATGATCTAAGCTCTTAAAATTTAGTTATTAATTATTAAGTACATTTCAAGTGGCTTCTATTACATTTCATAGTTTAAGCACTCATGACTAGAGAGGGAACTCAGGCATAGTAAAAATAATGCCATTATCAACAAGTCTTCTTGGAACTTTATAATGCCATTCTCAATAAAATCAATGACTTAACCATGAAACCAAATCCAAAATGTGAATTAATTATGGTTATAGAAAAGCATCAAGAGATCAGAAAAAAAAAAAAGATAGTCTTCCTCTGCCATAAATGAAAGCATTAAAGCGCACTGAAATCTATGTGCATCCTTAATGTTTTACTAAGGAAAATACAAGCCTTTTGATATATTGGTGCGCTGCCCTATGTGCTTATGCCACAGAAAGCTTAAACTAAAAGCAGGAAAGCATAACGTAGGGAATTTTAGAGCTGAAGGAGACCCAGCTCAAATACAGGCACTCCAACTCATGAGAATTCAACTTAAAATTTTTCGCAGTGGCAGCAAGCCTCAGCCCCTAGTCAGCCCTGCCATCATGAGGGTAAACAACTCATATGCTTACAACTGTTCTTTATCCACACAATCATTCAGTTTTTCACTTTCAGTACAATATTCAATAAATTACACAACATATTCAAAACTTTTGTAGTAAAACGAGCTTTGATAGATTTTGCCCAACTCTAGGCTAATGTAAGTATTGTGAGCATGTGTAACATAGGTTAGATGTATTAAATGACTTCTCAAATTACAACGTTTTCAATTTATGATGGGGTTATCAGGACATAACCCCATCATAAATTGAGGAAGATCGGTACAGCAATTTTCAAATCGGTATTCTATGTAATTATATTCAGGATGTTAACAGGTTGGTCATTAGAAAAGTCTTTCTGGCCAGGTGAGACTGCTTTAAGCCTATGTGCTCCCAAATTATTTGTCATGGAACACTGTTTTGGGGGCAGTAAAGCAGTTCCTAGATTGAGAAGAGGGTTCAAGGAACATCAGTTTGGAAAACTCTGATCTTATGAAATTCCCTTAAGCGGATGACAAAACTGAGGCCTAGAGAGATCACATCTGGTTAGCTGGAGAAGAAAGAAAGCGAACAAAATCTTTCATTCCCAGGCCAGAGCTCTTTCCACCACTTTAACTACAAAATAAGGCTCTTCAAACTGTATGTAGTCAAACATTTAATTTATGTTTAACATTTTGGTTATGGTGTCACATTTTCTGGTTTGTGTATTAACTTGGGCATTTTTAGTTCTTCAAGAAATGGGTTCCTAATAATTAGATACACCTGGAGATTTACTATTGTTTAGTACTAATGAGGAATGATTTTGTTCAGAGTGGCAGCTTTAAGGAATCACTGAAATAAAGCATCTATACTACAACTGGTTTTAATTTACTCTTGTTAACAACTTCTGTCAGCTCAACTAAATCACTTTGTTATTAGGTGGTGAATTTCTTAGCATATAACGTCAACATATGCTGTCCATGAGAACATAGGAGACCTGTCTGCGTAGAAGAAAGCCAACAACAACGAAATTGAGAGATTTTTGTCTTTCTACAGTTCTGGGCTTATTTGTCAGGCAAACACTTGGTTTCTTATCCTTTTGGTAATTAATAAAAAAATGTTGATTGCTTTAACTAAGTCTCCAAATCAGATTATCACAGTGTTTCTCAAACTCCAGAGAACTGTAAGATAGTGTCAGAAACAATTCGTTCAGCTTTAAAGTAGTTGTGTACCACTCCCCCTCCCCTACCTCAGGGTAGGGGAGAAGAGTGGACGAAACCCAACAAGTAACGATTGTTATGCTGCAACTTTAAAAGGCTTGAGAATCAAAGGTGATAATGGTTAACAACTTCCTTATGACTAACCTGACTTCCTCTAATAAACTTCTGCACTCCTTTCCAACCCCCCACATGGAACATTAACTATGGCAGGCATTCTTGTCTCCTCAATCTTAAAAGAACCCGCCAGATGAAGGAGACCGCACGAAGCCTGGATTCCACCAACAAAGAGGTTACTCCGCGCGCCTTTATCTCACAGGTGCGACCTACACCCCAACCTTGCGCACCGCTGGGCCCCGGCGCAGGAGGCTCGGAAGCAGCCACCCCTGCCTGGGACCGCCCTCGAGCCTCCTCCCGGCCCCGACCCGCCGATCCCCGCGCAGCTCCCGCCCCTCCGGAAACCCGAGGGCTGCCGGCCGGTTTCCAGGCTCCAGGCGGGGCCAGGGCGGCAACACCCCCGACGCCACAGCCGACTGCCCCGCGGGGCGTCCCCGAGGCTCCGGAACCAGCCAGGCCGAGGAGGCCGCTCAAGGCCGGCAGCCGGCCTCGCGACCGCGCTGGGGGCGGGGACGCTGTTACCTGCCGTGGGCTCCGCCGCTCCCCGCCGGCGCCGCTCTCCTGGCAACCGCGGCAGCGACGCGGAGGTCGGGAGCCGAAGGGCCTAGTGACAGCTCCCAGCGTGCACTGCGCCCGCGCCCACGCTAGCGTCGACGTCGACGACCCGCGATCCCCGCCCCCGGTCCGTGCCTAGCCTCCCGGCGCAAGCTGTTGCTACAGCGCCCTCAAGCGGACGGTCGGGGAAGCCGCTCATGGCAACCAACCATTCGGATGGGCCTGGAAAGGGAATAGCGGATGTTTTCAACTCGCCAGCGCCAGCTACATCTTAATGGAGAGTTGGAAGGAATGCTAGGAATTGAGAACAGCTTTTATATATTATTTAAACAGTCATTTAAGTGTTATTTAAACGATTCCTCAATATTTCATATGGGGAACTTGAAGCCCAGAGAAGTTGGGAGACTGATGAAGTTAGCAGATAAATAGTTGTCATCAGGTTTAGAAATATTTTGAGTTTATGTCTCTCTAAATCATGTAGTTACTACGAGGAAGATTGCACTGTGTTGCCTAAACCGTAGGGTCAAAGGAAAAAAAAGATTGTTTTTTTGCAAATGTGTATACGAAATATATATATACATATATATATATTTATATATAATATAGATAAAAATGTGTATATGAACTATATATGAAATATAGCAATATAGCAATCTTTAAAAATAATCAAACACCCAAGTATGAAGACCATGCTGTGCTAAGACAAATATTTCCATACAATGTGGCAGCATTTAAGACTTAATAGCTTTGAGAACTAAAGGTGGAAGGTATTAGGAGTTGAAATCATCACTCATGATCACCATTATTTGAGGTGGAATAGTAATAAACTTAATTCTTTTAACTTCGTTGTTACCTCCATCCATGATTTTGAATTACTGTGGTGGATACAGGAATTTGTGAAGCACCACAATAAACTTTACCAACTGCAGATACTGATTTCAGAAAATTTGTCTTAAAATAGTATCTCTAGGGAAGTGGATTTGTTATTTGGAAAAATCTTCCTACTGAGAGGCTGTCAATAAACATGATTTTATGAAGACAAGTCATCACTGTTTCTGTTTTTAAAACCTAACAGTCTCTTGGTTTTTGTTTGTTTGTTTTTTAAAGATTTTATTTTTAAGTAATCTCTGCACCCAACCTGGTCTCGAACTTAACCTGGAGATCAAGCCTCCAATGCTCCACTGACCAAGCCCTGAGCCCCTTGTTTTTAAAGAATTCTTTTAAAGAATCCTTCTAAGTAACCCCCTAGCCTTATATCTTAATATTACCCTATTTTAAGTATTCTTACCACCATTTAAGTACTTACATTTTAAAAGATCTTTTTCTTTACTAGGTGAAACTTTGTGAAATTATCTTCTAGCACCAATAACATTATGACTTCTGTCAATCAGTTTTTACTTCTATAAAACGTGGCGAGTGTAAATGTACCTGTGGAATCATTCTCATCTTCCTTTTTTCAAAGACTATAGGAATAGCTAATCTTGTGATTCATGGTACTGGATTTACCCGCACACTCTTCTGTATAGATAACAGAAAACCTTTTTTTTTTTTTAATTTTTATTTATTTATTTGAGAGAGAGAGAGAGAGAGCAAAGAGGGGAGAGGGTCAGAGGGAGAAGCAGACTCCCTGCTGAGCAGGCAGCCTGAGGCAGAATTTTCCTTGATCCGCAGGGCCCCGAGATCACGACTGAGCCAAAGGCAGTTGCTTAACCAATTGAGCCACCCAGGCGCCCCAAGATAAGAGAAAACTTAACATTTTTGCAACTGTTTCTATCTTAGAGCCAATTGTGTCTAAATGCAGAAGTAATGTCAGGTCAATCCTGGACATTCGTTGCCTCGAACAGCGGAGAGCTACCAAAGAACTGACATGATTCATAAAAAAGATACTATAGTTGATTTAAAAAAATGAAACAAGATTGTGTTTTGGGTGAATATATCTGCTCTCCAACCTTCTGGGGTCAGTGCCCTCCTATATCTTCTCCATCAATCATCCCCCTCCCCTCCAGCCTCATTCTTACACCTGTACTCGGCTCGGATTTTTAAGGTCACTTCCTGGGAGACTACCGCGCCAGGCCACGCCCACAAGAGGAAGCGGGGAAGGACAGTTTGCCTCTCGCTGCTCCACCTTTGTCGGCGCTCTGACTCCGGCAGGGACTTGAATACGCTCACGCCCCCAGGTCGAGTTCTCGCGGCAGCGCGCTCTCCGCCCGGAAGGCGGCGCTGTGGGCTGGCAGGCTGTGTCGGCCCAGGGATCCGGTCCTGGACTCCCGCCCAGCCGCCGCAGCGCGGCCGCCACAGCCGCACGTGCAGCCGCTTCTGGCCCTCCTGGCCCCTATTCCCCTGAACCTGCGCCTGGGCGCCGGCTATGGCGGCAGCTGCGGCGGGGACGCGCGTGTTCCTGGAGGTGCGGAGATGGCTGCAGAGCGCGCTGCTGATCCTGGGGTAAGGCCGGCGCTGGGCGTGTGGGCAGCTAGGCGTGGAGCGTAACCGCGTTTCTGCTGCGTTCTGCGTTCCGCTGTTTCTGCTTGTCAGGGAGCCTCCGTCTCCCTCCAAAGGACGGAGTTTTGAGTTTCTTTCCAATTGCTTAGAACCTGTCATTTACTCAAAGTGGAGTTTCCCCTCCCACCCCTCGTGCTTTTATTCCCCCGTAATCTCGGCATCACCTGGGAGCTTTTTTAGAAAGGCAGAGTCTCAGCCCCACACCAGACCTGCAGAATCAGAACTTATGTTTTAACATGCTTTCCAGGACTCAAAATACACACTAAAAAGTCTGAGGAGCACTGATGTAAAGTAACAGTGCCAGGCTTTTCCAAAAACAGCCCCCCCCCCCCCCGAGTGCCTTGCCCGCTTCTTCGGGGGATCCTCATTAGAGGATAAGGTCCAATGTGAGAGCTTCCTGTTTTGTACATAAACTCGGGTTGGTCCTCCCCCCCCCCACGCTGTTGTCTGCAGCAAAACTGACACGTTCACTGAACGACTAACAAAGGTTGCAGACTTCTTATTGGAGCTCATTCTTATATTCGCATTCCGCGTTCCAATGAGAAGTCACCAAACGTTTCACTTGTTATTCACTACACCTACAAGAAACTTTTAGAAGAAAAGCTCCCGCGTTTGCTTGGTAGTGTGTGGCCCCCTCGATTATTCCCTTGTGACTACCGTTTCAAATAGAGTAAGTTAGATGTTAAAATCCTGGAACTTTTACTACTCGGGGCCGCTCAAGAGGTAGGCTGATGCTTTTCCTTAATCGGCCTTTTCCTTAAATCGTCCAGGTATAGGTGTGGCAGTTTGGGGTTTGGCATGAGAACGGAGTTCAAATCCTAGCTTTTTCGCAGGAGTAGAATCGTTTAATCTGAAGTTTTTCAATTTTAAAATACGGATGATATTTATTATTTTTTTCTTTCTCTTTTGTTTCTCTGTTTCTCCCTCTCCATCTCAAATCATAAATTCAGATAAGTATCTCCAATTACAGTCCACTTTGTAGGGTTATTAGTAGCCCCAAACTTAGCAAAACAAAAGCAAGACAAAGTCCCTACATCCTGTCATCAAAGGTGACCCTCAAAGTTTCTCTAGGTTACTCTCCCTTGTTTAAGCAGGTGAAGAAACCTGACTTTGCTAGACTACTAGTAGTTTGTCCCTAATGGTCTTTGGCTGTTGAGTTTTATCACCAACTTGCCCCTCAGGAAAACAAAAACAACCACTCTTCTGATTTCACTCAATAAGGATTGGTTTTTGCCACTTCATGAACTGTATATAAAGGATTTCATACAGTATGTACTTTTTGTTTCCGGCTGCTTTCCTTCAACAGCCTTCTGGGATTCCTGTTTTATCTGTGTCTATTTTTCTCTGAGTAATTTTCTACTGTATTAATAGACAATATATCTACCCATTCTATTGCTGGATATTTTGTGTGTTTCTAGAACTTGATTATTATGAATAAAGTTGCTATAGCATTTTAGTTGACATACATTTCATTTCTCCTAGGTAATTACCTAATTCTATTATGGTGTAAAGTCTCATTGTCATTTTAATTTGCATTTCCCTGATTAATAATGTTGAGTATCTTTTCATTTGCTTTTTGGTCATTCATATGTGTTCCTTTGGAAAGTGTCTTCTGATTTTTTGCCATTATAAAAAATCAGGTTTTTCTTATTGTTGAATTTAAAAACTTCTTTCTAGTGTCTGGAAATAAGATCTATCTTATTTATGCCTTGTGAATATGTGAACACTTACTCCCAGTCAGAAATTTACCTTTTCATTTTCCTAATAGTGTCTTTTCAGGAACAGAAAATTTTAATTATAATAAACTTCACTTTATTGCATTTTTTTCTTTAATGGTTAGTGTTGTTCGTATCTTAAGAAATCTTTACTTACCTCAAGGTTGTAAAATTTTTCCCATGTGTTATATAATTTTAACTTTTATATTTAGGTGAAATTCATTTTTTGTGTTTGGAGTGAGATAGGAGCCAAATTTCATTTTTTTTCCTATAAGGATATCTGGTAGTTCCATCACCATTAGTTTAAAAGAGTGCCATTTCTCCCATTGAAATAACACAATGTCTTTGTCAGGAAACCTTTGACTGTACTGTTTGGCATCATGTATGTCTTTCTTTCCTTTTACTGTTTAACATATGCCTTTATATATAAATTTCTAAAATCCTATGCTGAGTGTTTCTGAGTCCACTCTGATAATCTCTGCATTTTAATTAAACTTTTTAGTCTGTTTACAATTAATGTAAATGGTATGATTGAGCTTTATTCTTGTTCCTAATCTTAAATGTTTCTAGCATTTTATCACTAAGTACAATGAAATTGACTTTTGGCAAATCTATGTGGTAAATTGCATGGTTCCTTTCTATTCCTACTTTACTACAGGTTTTGATAGTGAATCTGTATTTTCTGTATTTTTACTGTATTTTCTGTATGATTTGTACATGTACTGTGATTTCATTTTTTTTCCTTTCATATTTACATCTATGAATTGCATTAGAAAAATTTGTTATGTTAAGCCATTTTAGTATTCCTGGGGTAAATGTTGGCCATTCATTTATTCAGTGCACAGATGTTTACTGAGTTCCTATTCCAGTGCTGAAAGCTCAGATTCTAAGTGCTGGGTATCCAACTGTGAGGAGTGACAATAGCAAAGATGAAAATTCATGGCTGTTGTTGAGCTTTTGGTCTAATGGTAGCAGTGGGTGAGAGGTGAGCAGAAATTACACAAAATAAATAAAATATATATGATATTGAAAGGAGATATAGAAAAAATAAAACAAAAAGGGATAGGGAGAAAAATTATAACCCCTTATTTCAAGTGAAAAAGCGATACTTGAGTAATAAACCCAAAGGGGAGAGGTTTAGAACTATATAATATCTGATGAAAGACTGTTTCCCTCCAAGAGAACAGCAAGTACGAAGAGGTGCCAAGTTCAGAGAGATGTGGGTGGGCTGGTGGAGCACATAGTAAATGGTCTTACAAAGAGGTATGTTAGTAAATGTTTAACAACCTGCATTCTTAGAAAACCAATGAAACTAACAAGAAATCTTCCCAATTTGTAGCATTTACTGATTCCTGTGGTGGAGATAGTCTTTCACCATGGATGATGTCAGGCAAGTGATGTCAACTATTTTGCAAAATCCCTGGAATTTTAACAACTGTCTCCAGTATATCTGTGGGTCTTATGGGCCATGGAAAGAATTTTAGCTTGTAATCAAAGTTTGATGGGAAGTCATTGGATAGTTTCAAGTAGGGTGTGGTATCTGAAAGAATGTAAGTACATGGTGAAGGAAGCTTCAAGTATGTAAAAGTTGTGGACAATTAGAGTCTCAAACACTTTATTTTTGGACAGTCTCAACCTTGAGAATAAGTTACTGTCACTCCTGAATACATTACTGGGGATTTCCTACAAATAAGAACATTCCAGGGCACCTGGGTGGCTCAGTGGGTTAAGCCTCTGCCTTCTGCTCAGGTCATGATCTCAGGGTCCTGGGATCGAGCCCCGCATTGGGCTCTCTGCTCAGCAGGGAGCCTGCTTCCCCTTCTCTCTCTGCCTGCCTCTCTGCCTACTTGTGATCTCTCTCTGTCAAATCAATCAATAAAATCCTTAAAAAAAAAAAAAAAAGAACATTCCGCCTGTAACCACCATGCAACCTTCAAAGCTGGGGAATATGTTACAACCATCTTACACTAAGACCTCACTCAAATTTTGCCACATGTCTACATAATGTCTCTAATAGTAAAAGAACACAGTTCAGAATCATGCATTGCATTTCATTGTCGTGTTTCCTTAGTCTCTTAAAATTGGAAGAGTTCCTCAGTTTCCCTTGACCTTCACAATCTTGACACTTCTGAAGATTACAGCCTAATTATTTTGTGGAATATCCTTGCCTCAAGATTGGGTTCCGACTATATATATCTCTGGCGGGAATATCACAGAAGTGATGCTGCATTCTTATTACATCCTATCAGGTATCACATGATTTTGACTTATTCCATTAAAGTTCATGTTAACTTTGAGCACATAGATAATGTCTGCTGTCGCCACTATAAAGTTACTCTTTTTTTTTTTTATAGGGCTGTAACATTTTTATTTAGGAAAAGATTTAGTGTGAAGCTATAATGGTTCAACTTAAACCATCCCTTTTTAAATAGAGGAGTCAATTAATGCAAAATATTTTTCCTTGTCTATGAAAACGAAATTGAACAGTATTTTAATGATAAGGAAATATAAGCATACACTTTAAACTAGCCAATGTGCACTGTCATAAAAGAAATAGGATGCTCTTTCTCTTCCCCTCCCTCAGCCATTCAAAGAAGAGAAGAATACTGCAAACTTTAAGAACCCTACCTAACCATCAGAGTAACTACAGAACAAGGGGAGCGCAGGATGAAACTATTTCTCTATATTCCAGAAGGCAGAAGCTTGGGTGCTCTGGCTTAAAAGTAAAAGCACAGGCAGGCAAAAGCTCACAGTAAATGCACATCAGAACAGGGCCTCGGTAAAGTTGTCTGTGGATTACTGCTTTTACAGGAAAGAAGAAAGAGAATCTGTAGTGGAGTAAACACACACACACAAACCATTTGTCACATTTACAGGAATGCAAACCTTTTGTATTCCCACGCTCATGGGTAGTTTTGATATACACTGCAAAGAGCTTCAGTATTCAGGAAGAATGTTGTAAGGTTGACAAAGGACATGAGAATTCTTCATGCTTCTGATATCAGATTTGTTGAGTCCAATAGAAGTTCTAACTCTTCCTACTCTTAACTGATTCAGTCGGGCAAGACTCTTTTTCTCTTTATATTCCATAAGTATTAATTGGAGAAGTCCTTTGCGACTGTGTGTAAATACCCTTGTTCCTCATCAGATTTGCATTTTATTCATTCATTTATTTACATCAGCATGGACCCATGATCTTTTATTCATTGGGTTACACTTTTTTTGCTCATGTTATACCAGATGTGTCTGGGGGAGTCCCTTCAAGAGGATTTTAATATGTTCCTATTATTCTTTTTTTAATATGTTCTTTTTTAACATGTTCCTATTATTCTTTGATTAATTTTCTTTTTTTTTTAAAGATTTATTTATTTATTTAATTGACAGAGATCACAAGTAGGCAGAGAGGCAGGCAGAGAGAGAGGAGGGGAAGCAGGCTCCCTGCTGAGCAGAGAGCCCGACGTGGGGCTCGATCCCAGGACCCTGGGATCATGACCTGAGTCGAAGGCAGAGGCTTTAACCCACTGAGCCACCCAGGCACCCCATGATTAATTTTCTTTCTTTGCACAGCAACATGTTCCAGGCTCATCTCATTCTTTTCCTTTTCCATCCCTGGATGTAGTTATTTTTTCAAGGAATGTCATTTTGTTTTGTGTACGTTCATTTGTTTTAAAGTGGAAAATCACTAGGGTGCCTGGGTGGCACAGCTGGTTAAGCATCCAACTCTTGATTTCTGCTCAAGTCTCAGTGTCAGGGTCAGCGGATCGAGCCTCACATTGGGGTCCCTCCTCAATGTGGAGTCTGCTTAAGATTCTTTCCCTCTGCCCCTTCCCCATCTCACACCTGCGTGCGCATGTACTCTCTCTCTTTCTCTCAAATAAATAAACTAAAAAAAAAAAAAATTTAAGTGGAAAGTGACCTTTAGAAACCAAAATCTAAGCACAAAGTATCCTCATTACTATTGACTGACATGTTACTCTTTCCAGGCCCTAGTGGACAAAACTAGAGTGTGTATGTGACATATACATAATATTCATGTACAAATGTATGCACATGTATTTGTGTTTGTATATCATACGTACATCTACACACATAGACATCTGTATTACTGGATCTCTTTATATATACATTAAAAACCGTGACTCTACACAGGTATTTTCAATTCTGGTCTACCACCATAGGATCCATTTTGATTTTTTTCCCTTTCCCTCTTTGTAATTCTGGTTTCCGACAGTGAGAATCCTGGCTTTTGTTATTCTCAGGACTTAAATTTATTTAGTCAATTCCCCTCTATGTAAGTCATCTCATGCTGGCATCCTTCGCTGCTTCCCTCCCCCTCCTCAGTCAGTGTTGACACCTTGGAGTCAGTGTTGGCTCCTCATTGGGGTCTGTTACAGAATGAATTTTTGTGTGTCCCCTCAAAATTCATGTGTTGAAGCCCTGACCCCCAATATGATGGTATTAGGAGATGGGGACTTTGGGAGGTAAGTAGGTTTAGATGAGGTCATGAGGGTGGAGCCACCGCGATGGGATTAGTGCTCTTAAAAGAGGAAATACCAAAGCTGCTTCTCTTCTTCACAGTGTGAGGATAAAGGTGGGGTTGTGGCCATCTGCAAGCCTAGTAGAGGGCTCTCAAGGAGAACCAAATCCCCTGGCGCCTTGATCTTGTACTTCTCAGCCATCAGAACTATAAGAAATGTGTGTTGTTTAAGCCCCCAGTCTATGGCGTTTTGTTTTGGCAGTCTGAGGCAGGCTCTGGAACCCCGAGTTGCCACTCCCACCCCCTTAGACTCCTCATCCCTCTTAAGATCTGATATCTCTGCGGGGTGGCTGTCCTAGTGGATGTCCTTCTTCTTCACCTCCACCCCAAGACTGTGGTTCTCCCACACTTGTATCGATGCCTCCTATGTTACTCAGCCCTCTAATGGGCTGAACTTTTCATGAAGGGAAAGAAGAGTGGTCAGCCAGAGACGGGGTGGGGCTGAGGCTTAGAAACACAGTTATCAGGGCAACTGGGTGGCTCAGTAGGTTAAGCCTCTGCCTTTGGCTCAGGTCATGATCTCAGGGTCTTGGGATCGAGCCCTACATTGGGCTCTCTGCTTAGCAGGGAGTCTGCTTCCCCCTCTCTCTCTGTCTGCCTCTCTTCCTACTTGTGATCTCTGTCAAGTAAATAAATAAAATCTAAAAAAAAAAAAAAAAAAAGAGAGACGCAGTTATCTCCCTTGAGGCACTTCTCGTGCCAGTGGCACAGTCCAGTTTGAAAATCAGTGAAGAAGCAAAATGGACAAATTGTGTACCTTTAGAGCAATGTTCAGCAAACTATAGCCCATGGGCCAACTCTAACCTGTGGTGCGTTTTAGTACAGTTTATGAGCTGAGAATGGATTTTACATTATTTAAAGCATTGTTAAAAATAGAATACATAGTATAATATGCAACAGACCATATATAGCCTGCAAAACCTGAAATATATGCCATCTGTCCTTCTGACCTCTTCTTCAGAGGATTATTATTTCTTAAACATCAATTCTTAAAACTAGACTTTTGACTCTGGGGCACCTGGGTGGCTCAGTCTGTTAAACATCTAACTCTTGATCTTGGCTCATGTTGTGATCTCAGGGTCATGAGATTGAGCCCCACATTGGGCTCTGCACTAAGCGTGGAGCCTGCTTAAGGTTCTGTTTCTCTCTCTCTCTCTTCCCCTCCTCCTGCTGGTACTCTCTCTTTAATTTAAGACAAAACAAAACAAAAAAACTAGACTTTTGACTCAAGAGTTTAAGGTTGTGTTTCTTGGAAAAGACTTAGGTTCTTGCCAGTTAAATACAGGTCCATATGCCTTCAAAAGGAACTAGCCAGAAAATAATCTTAAGATTTTGTAAGGCGAATTAAGAGACCTAATCAAGATTCACACCTGAACGCATGGTATAATCTCTGTGCTTAGATAATACTCAAGTAGATGGCCTGCCTTCTGTGTTTAGGTTATTCTGAGTTGCTGGCCTCTCCCTGCTGTCTGCACCTCTGTTACAATGCTAAGTGTATTTTAGCTTCATATGAGGACCATTTCTCTATGTCTTCCTCCCCACTGTACTTTTGGTCCCTGGTGGACAGGGAATAGACTGTATTTTACTCTCGATTGCCTATACCAAATGATTTGTGTTTGTAGCAACTTGGACTCGCCAGTTCTTTCATATTCATACATCACTAGATTGTTTTATTTATTTTTTTTAATTTTTAAAATTGACAAGTTCTTTTCTCCTGTACCTTTTGTTTCATGTAATCCTGGCCTCCTTATCAAAATCCTGTATGTCAAATGACAATACTTTATTACAAATAAAATAATTTATAATTATTTGTAAAAAAAAATTGTACAAAATTGTACCAAAAAATTATACAAAAAATTTTGTACAAAAAATTGTAATACTAGTCTTAGATGCAAGGATATTTCCCTGGCTTATACATTTACTGTTCAAATAACACTGACTGTGATAGGCACTGCAGGCCTCCCTGTGCTTCCATAGTACTCCATATTTATCACAGAGAAGTACAATGCAGTTTTTGTTTGTTTGTTTGTTTTGTTTTGTTTTGTTTTGACAGCCATATCTCTTAGAGGGGATAGGGCACTGGGGGCCAGCCCGGGGCGCTCCCTCTGCACCGCCTTTCACTGGCACTGCTTCCTGAGTCCTGCCGCTTCATCACAATGGGCAGCTCAGGAAGGCTGGAGAAGGGCTCAATGCACAGGGCCTGGAGCCCTTCCGCTGGTGGACAGCTGAGTGGGGAGAGCTGGTCAGAAGGCCAGACCCACCCACCGTGCATGCGGCCACACCATCCAGTTGGTGAAGCCACACTCTCCCAGTGTCTTGTCGTCATCCAGATGCTGGTCATCCTTGCACAGTTTCTGCTCATCGGATGGCCGCTTGAGGATGTCCTCGAGGATGCGCTTCAGCCCGAGCATGGTGCTCCACTCCTCGGTGTCCGTGAAGATGGTGGTCCTGTGGTTCTGGATTATGAGGAACCTGTCCCTGGGGTGGTGGGCTCCCCCCCACCCCACAGTGTGGCCTGCTGCTCCTGGCCCTGGCCTGGCCAACACGATGTTTTCAGGCTCCCTTGAGCATTCCTGTTTACTTGCCTGTGTCCTACTTGGGGTGGGCGGTGAGGGGCAGAGAAGGTATCTTGTTAATGGTTGTAGTCCCAGTACCTGGCTGTTACAGAATCAAAGAAGCTGTATTGAATGAATGAGAGAGAGAGAGAGTGAATGAATGTAAGAAACTGTGCTAGGGTTATGGGATGCAAAGATGAAAAAGCCACTGTCCATTGCTGCCTTGAGTCCTCTGACAAAATATTCTAAAGAACAAGTGCCTGATGTACAATAGACCAGCATTAGACTGTGCTGATTCAAAGAACCTGAAGTTGGAGAGATGCTGGGAGGAAATAGTGGGCTTTAGGAAGTGGAAGGTGGACGGTGCAAGCAGAATGGCTGTGGGAGCAACCCCAGGAAGGTCCAGGTTGGAGTAACTGCTGGAAGCATTAGGATAGAGAACTGGGGCACAGGATCACTATTAGCAATGGGGGAAAAGTGCACATTTATAAATGCATCATTGCCATAAAAAAAGCCAAGAATAAGAAATACATCCCCATACTTTCATGTTACAGTGACAGTGAAAAGTACTCTCTGACCTGATCGAAATCTTGTATAGAATGACTTCCTTTATGGTCCATTCCCTGCTATTCTTTTGGGGGCAGTGACTTTAGACAGTAGACTGTATTGAAGAGAAACAGATCCTTGGCCATTTTTGTCTGTTTTATCATGTGGTTTTCATCCCTGAGAAGTAATTTTTTGTGTGTTTTGTTTTTAATCACCAGGGAGCCTAAAGAAGGGGGTATGCCCATGGATATTTCTGTAGTGCCGTGCTCACTCCAGGTGAAGACCCCGGAAGGCTGCACAGAGCTCCAGCTTCCAGCAGAGGTCAGGCTTGTGCCTTCCTCCTGCCGAGGGCTGCGCTATGTCCCAGGAGAGGGACTGCACCTGCGACTGCAGGTGCAGACAGAGTCTGATGCCAGTGAGTGATCCCAGCGCTCCTCTTTCTGCATTTAGTTGTTCATTGTAGATCAAAGGTGATTTTTCCTTTGAAAAGTTGACCTTTTCCCAGATGAAAAAGCCTGTTCAGCAGCAGCATAGAAAAAGCCGGTCAGAAGGTTCTTTGTCAGCTCTGCCAGTTATTTAGCTGTGCAGTTGAACTTGCTGCTTACTTTTCTAGAGCTTTGTTCGGTGGCTGGGGGTAAAGGGGTGGTTAGTGGGTTTTTTTTTCTTCTAGTAGATTTTATTTTATTTTTTAAAAATATTTTATTTATTTATTTGACAGATCACAAATAGGCAGAGAGGCAGGCAGAGAAAGGGGGGGAAGCAGGCTCCCTGCCGAGCAGAGAACCCAATGCAGGGCTTGAACCCAGGACCCTGGGATCGTGACCCGAGCCAGAGGCAGAGGCTTTAACCCACTGAGCCACCCAGGCGCCCCTAGATTTTATTTTTTAGAGTAGTTTTAGGTTCACAACAAATTAGCGGAAGGCACAGAGATTTCCCACATAACCCCTGCCTTGTTTCTTTAATTGTGAAAGCTCACAGTGTTGATAGGAAGATGAAATCAGATGGTAGTTGTGCAAGACCTGGTGGATTTTATTTTATTTTATTTTATAATTTTTATTTTTTATAAACATATAATATATTTTTATCCCCAGGGGTACAGGTCTGTGAATCGCCAGGTTTACACACTTCACAGCACTCACCATAGCACATACCCTCCCCAATGTCCATAACCCCACCCCCCTTCTGCTAACCCCCTTCCCCCAGCAACCCTCAGTTTGTTTTGTGAGATTAAGGGTCACTTATGGTTTGTCGACCTGGTGGATTTGAAAGCGTGACATAGAAATTCATCCAGTCAACAAATGCTGCCTTACACTGTGTGCTAGGTTTTGATCTAGGTGCTGGGGATACCTTCTGGGAACTCTGCTAGTGAACACTCTGGGAAGGCCTCTGCCTTTAGGAGAGCTTATGTTCTTGTGGGTGGGAACAGATAATGAACAAATAAGTTACTTGGATACAGAGAAAAGTGCTGTGGTCAAAGAGAAGCAGAATAATGGGGTAGGGAGTGACTACGGTGAAAGGTACTCAGGGAAGGCCCCTCTGAGGAGGGACAATATTTGCCCAGAGAACTGAGTGATGGAAATGATTCCATCCATGGAGAGACATTTTCAAATAGAACACTATAGATACAGATTTTGAAATTGAGTTTCATGCATAATTTGATTTTGGTTATTGCTATGCCAGTTATATTTCTAGTATTTTGTTATTGCCAGGTTGAGTCAGTAAGATGGTAGAAATGTTTCTCAGAATAACTTATTGAATAAAATTATTGGCTCATTGCATCTCTTCCCATGTAAGTAATGTGCTTTAGAGAATTAAAAATGATGTGAAAGGGGAAATAGTCTGTAACAGACCCGTGAGATGCTCATTATCAGGAAAGGATTATGATTCTTTCAACTGCATTCTGAGACTTCGTGGCTGCCTCATCTATACTAAGCCTTTCATTTGAGCTTCGTGGAGTCTCGAGGTGGGGTCAGCAGGATGGTTTTGAAGAGCCATGTAGAAGATGTGGAGCATTCCCCCGAGTTCTTTGCTGCTTTTTTCATTGGAGAGTAAGTTTTACTCAAGTCCTTAATCAGTGAATAACTAGTCTTGAGTTGGGCAGAGTTGGATTTAGGAATAAGGCATAGGGAACCAAAATGTCATGGAGCTTAAGTGACATACCCACATGCTAAGAATGACTACTGTAATAACCACGGAAAGAAGAATGGGGTCACCAAGATGGAAAATAGACTGATGATGGAAACTGGGCAAAGGTGGGCACAAAAGCTGCACTGGGGTATTTTCAGATCTGCTGGTTTTCTGGATTTGTGATTTTAGGTCCCATACTGAGGAGGTATGGGGTCTTCTACAGACACAATTGGTTTGTTGCCTGCATGGTTAATAAATAGCAAAACTTGAACTATTTTTTTTTTTTTTTAAATCAGCAAGCAGGATTGTTTCACTGTAACCATAGGACAGAGTAAGTTGACTGCTGATTGTTGGTTCACATATTGCTTGATTCCATTGGTCTGCTCTGGCTTTACATTTTTAAAACATTTTACTCAAATATCTGAAAAGGAAGACTTTCAAAAGCCCTGTTCTGCAGTGCATGGAAGGGTATGCAAAATAGAACTCAGTACTTAATAGCCTTAGTGCTTTTCGCTTAATAGGTGGTGAGTAAATATTTGCTGAATGAATAGATATCAGACTGGTGCATACTGATTTTGACTTGAATCAAAATGTAGTGTAGGAAGACTTGATATTGTTAGCATTCAGTTGTGTTTTGAGATTTTTAAAAAGTTGACTTTTCAACTGTAATTGTTCTTTTAAGGACTATAGTAAGCCTATTGTTGTGCTATTCTGAATGTAACATAGGTCAGATCAGGACCCTTGACATGGAAGTGGCTACATAAAGTCTGAGAGAGCACCAGCATGGGATTCATCCCCAGGTGGCAGTACTCTCCCACGATGCCACCTGGTCCAGCAGTTCTGACTTGAACCTGAGCCGCGGGATCATGCTGGGTGACCAGCAGAGGGGAGTGTTTCACTGAAAATTTGTTTCTTGGTTCGGAAAAGACTATTTTGGATGACTTACCCAGGTCTACTTAATATCTGTTCAAAATTAAAGAACACCGTTTATTTCACCTCAGTGCTACAGGGATTGGCAGATACCCCCAGAAATTAAAAGGACGAATTTTTAATTGCCAAGGATTAAACTTTCTACCATCAGTCTTTAAAATCTTAATATACAAAGTAACATAAACCAAGTTCGAATTGCTTAATTCTAATGAGTTTGACCTCATTCCTTTAAATTTTTTTTTACAGACATATTTTTGTGTGTGGATGTTTTGTTTTGGGGGAGTTTTTTGGGAAATGAAAGTTTCCTTTCTTCATGAATAAAATAATGGAAACTGAGGGAATGCTGTGCTTCACATAATGGAGGAAATAATATTTTTCCATAGCTTTAATCGGAAATTGAGTTTTGCTTTTAGAAGATTGAATTCTTCTTAGGAGCCATTCCATTCCTAGGAACCTGTCCAGTGAAGACCAGTTTCAAGATTCTTCTTGTTTGTATGTACTGGTGATTGGCCAGAGTGGAATTAGACTTTGTTTTCATCAAATTAAACTTAAGTTTAAGAAGTAGAAGCAGCAGTCACACTGATGAAAAACTGGATGTAGGATGGTGAGACCCCCTGTAGTTGGCTTGATGTGAAAGCAGTTGTTCCCTTTCTCCTTCCTTAATGTTGGTATTTATGGAATGAGTGAAATAACGCACTGGTATGTTACAGGCATAATCTAGGGTGATACCTAGCTCTGAAACACTTAGCAAAATCTGTTGTTTTTGAGAAAACTAGGTCACAATATTTGCTTCTGGTTGAGTCATCAGATAATGCTAATTAAATGTGTACTTCTGGGTGGATCGTAAACAATGTTTATTGATAGTAATGTATTGTGGCTGTTAAACTCTTCAAGTATGTTAATATATTTGTCCCACACCTCTGAGATTTTCTCTTTCATCGATTTCTCTTTAGAACTGATTTCAATGTTTAATCAAAGCTCACAAGCCCAAGGATGTTGCACATTTTATTGCCAGTCCTGCGGTGAAGTCATAATAAAGGACAGGTAAGGAATGTATTTTACGTTGATTAATTCTGTGCCTGGCAATGGTTTTCTTTTTTTCTATCAGAATTATTGAAGTAATTACCAGGGAAGCTGTATATGGCCTTAGAATGAGAGCCAGCTTAATGTCACTTTGAACAAAATCGACCATAAAACTCTCCAGCAATCATAGAGCAGTTAGGCCTTCTAAAGGTGACAGAGGGGAACATAGCATGCTGGTTTTGAGGGAGGAAGGCTTATCTTGATGGAAGCCTGTGCTGGTCACTGAAGCATGTCTCTTCTGAAAAGAGGCATGGGCTTTGGTGCATGTTTTATCCATCATGTTGGTGAATGAGGTTTGTTCCACATTAAGCGAATTTTCTAAATCCCAGAGGCTCTTGCAACGCATCTTTTTATTTGACCTATTTCTATTAGTCCCTTTCGAAAATCCATTTCCTATTTCCCTGCTTATTAAAACAGAGCATACAGAGCACAAATTAACCTTTTCTTGATGGTTAGGTTAATCTTATTACCTGTCCTTGCAGTGTGCTGTGATTACTCTGTTGAGATGCGAAAAGGCCTTTTGCTATATTCTTTGTATTCCAAAGGTGTCTCTTTTCGTTATTTTTTCCTTCTTCTCCTTTCCTTCTGTCAACCTACTTGTTTCCTGGGCACAAAGCCTTTCCCCTGAGTTTTCAGCTTCCACTCGTAGGTTGGAAAGACAGATCAAAACCTTATTGTTGTTAACCATCCTTAAAGAAAGAAGTTAGATTTTCTCATTAGATATGTTTCCTCTGAGACAGGTGCCTGAGACTTATCTGGGGATGGCTCCTTCTCCACTTCTGAAAACTCCTTCTCTTTCAGTGGTCCTTGTCTCAATGAACACCAGACTCTACCTGCACAGAGCTTCCTCTCTCCCCTGGAATGTGCCCCACACCTCCTCTCTCCCTCTGGTTAGCTCCTACCTAAATTCATCTGACAGGGCATCTGTTGCCAGGAGCCTTCCCTGAACCTTGGGTTGGTTTATATGCTCCTCCCAGGTCTATTTGCCTGTCTTCCCATCTGAGCTGCGGGCTCTGGGATGTTGGAATAGTCTTATTGACCTGTATCCCTGTATCCCTTACCTCCACTCATATTTAGAGTGCAGTGTAGGGTAGGGGCTAGTGGTAGAGACTCAGAAGCCAGACTGCCGGGGTTTGCATCCACCATTTACCAGCTGTGGCTCTGGGCAAGTTACTTAACCACTCCATGCCTCAGTTTTCCTATTCAAAAGTATAGCAGACAATAGGAGCTACCTCATGGGGCTGTTGGGAGAATCAAGTGAATTTAAATATTTATAGCAGTGCCTGGCACATAGTAGGCATTCGGTATATGATGGCTACTGCTATAATTATTATTCTTATCACCGTCAGCCCCAGCATCAGGCCACAGTGCCTGATGAATAGTGTACTCTCAATAAATTCTTCCTGGGTTGAATTGAATAAACAGTAGGATGTTTATTTTAGCCTTCCACCAGCCTCTCTTGCTTACTTTCTGATTCCTGGCGGTGCCCCAGGTAGATGAGATCATGGAAAGTTACCCTAGTATAAATGGGGGGATTTTGAATGGAGCACCTCCGAGTGATTATCTTGGGTAGGAGATGAGGTGACCGAATCCACGGAAGAGAGGAGAATGTCCTTGCTCAGATTACCTACGGGCTGAAGTTGCTATAGAGTATGCAGTCCGTGACGGACCCACTGTAGCCTGAAATGTCCAGAGGATTCCACTTCATGTTGTAGTTAAACTCAGAAACTTGTGCTTCTCTCAGTCTGTTTCAGGCTTTGGTTGAATTCCCACATGAAGTTTCTGGAACATGCATTCCTATATAACAATGGGGGGACCTAGTAGTCACAGAAAGAGCAAGTGAAGTGCAGTGTAGCCCTATTTCCTTGTACTGCTCCCCATAAGGGCTATGCTCATTCATTATTGGCCGATATTTGTGTTTCCTCGGGAAGGGATGATGATATAAAAAAATGGTTACCTGTAGCGATTTTTCCCATGCAGGAACTAAATCTTCTGTTTTTTTTTGTCAGTCCTTTTTCTGATCGTAGAATTGAGAAGGCCTTACAGGTGAACCCGGAGGGACAGTTTCACTCTCCCTAACCATGACCATCTGGAGGCTGAGTGGTGTAAAGCAGGAGTAGGAGAATGGGACCTCGGGTTTGAACTCCAGCTTCACCACTTAATAGCTCGGGAGCCTTGTCCATGTCACCTCAGCCACTTCTCAAGTTGACATGCGTCTTCTTCGACATGTCAGGAGGCTGAATCTTGGTGATGGAGAAAACTTAGGAGCTTATTTAGACCTAACTTCCATTCTAAACAGGAACTCCTGTTGGGTTTCTTCCTCTTCTTTGTAGAAATTCAAACCTGACCTATCACTTCCTGCTTAAAATTCTGTAATGCTTTCGATTTGTGTTTCTTCTTAAGTAGACATAATAAGGCCTGTTTTCCAAACCTGTCGGAAGAATTAAAGGCTGTCATATATATGATAGCAAAAGCTTGACAAGCTCTTTTGAGTTGGTTTTATAGACTCCTTCCACCCCCTTTTGCATTTTGGTCTTATTAGCAAACTAGCAAGTTATCTTGTTTAGTGTGTCGGGTCGTTTTGATTCAGGACTCTATTTTTTTTTTCTTTTCTTTTCTTTTTTTTTTTTTTTTAAAGATTTTGTTTATTTATTTGTCAGAGAGAGAGAGAGCAAGCACAGGCAGACAGAGTTGCAGGCAGAGGCAGAGGGAGAAGCAGGCTCCCTGCCGAGCAAGGAGCCCGATGCGGGACTCAATCCCAGGACGCTGGGATCATGACCTGAGCCGAAGGCAGCTGCTTAACCAACTGAGCCACCCAGGCGCAGGACTCTATTTTTAAGGTGTGCCAGGGAAATGACCTTCCTTTCTCCCTTTTTCTTTCTGAGAAGATAAACATTGACTTGACTTAGCTCTTGCCTCACTTAAACAAGGCTTACCTGAAAGCCTTTTCCTGTCACACCTGTGTGTCTGGCAAGTGTATGCCTCTTGAACAATGCAGAAAAATATTTAGTAGGAGATTCAAGGCTTTGCTTACATTTCACTCTTGGGCAGCATGCCCCATGCCGGTTTGTTGGAAAAACAAGCATCCTCCAGTATCTGCACAAGGACTTCATGTTGACTTTTTGCATTAAACCCAGTGGTCTTCTCATTTTTCCCTCAGTTATCTGATTTATGTGGGTGGTAAGGACAGCTTTTGTGCTTGTTAAATAGAAGACAAAACCCAAAGAGGTTTATGTGTCCTATAATCAAACCCAACTAACTGTTAGCATCTTTTCCAGGAGGGCACCTTGGGTTAGGTTGATTTATCTGTACCAGGAACTCCTCTGATAAGCGGGTGGAGGAGAGTTAAGATCTGCATACTGGCTTGCCTTAATATCTAGGAACAAGTCACTTTAATTTTCTAGGCCTCAGTTTGCTTATCTGTAAAGTGAGTTGGATTAGATACAACTATAGGAGTCCTACCAGCAGAAAATCCTGTGATGAGTGAACCGCATAAAGTTGTACCTTGGGTTCTGTGATTGATGATCATTTGGAAAGTGCAAGACTAATCCTTGTTCCTTTTTTTTCCTTTATTGAAATTATTCTCATCAAGCAAATTATAGAAATAAGGTACAGAGGACTATTTAATCTATTAAGACTCATTGATGGCTTTTAATACATATTAGAATCAAGGTGCATGAAATCTGCTAATTATAGCAATCTTTTTTTCTTAATTTAGGAACATGTGATTTTAGCCATCTGTTTTGGTCATTTGAAAATAGATAATGCCTCATTTCCTTACCATAAAATTCTCCAGTTTACATTTTTACTAGTTCAAAGTATTTGTATAAAAATTGTCTTAACTTGGGCACCTGGGTGGCTCTGTCAGTTAAGCATCTAACTTGATTTCGGCTCAGGTCATGATCTCAGGTTCATGAGATCGAGCCCCATGTTGGGCTCCATGGTCAGTGTGAAGCCTGCTTGGGATCATCTCTCTCTCTCTCCCTCTGCCCCTTCCCCCACTCTCCCTCGCTAAAAAAAAAATTGTCTGAACAGGTACAGTTTTTGATTATGCTAGGCCCTAATACCAAGTAATAATAATGACAGAATTTACTTTTTTGAAAAATAGTCTCAGAAACAGCTGCATGTTCATCGTGTTTAGAATTTGTTTCTCCTAGAAATAAATTTATGCCAAATGTGAGTTACGTACATCAGTTGGCCAAACAGACTTTCAGACATAAAAGCTTTTGATTTTCAGTCCATTTGTGAGGTCTCCTAAGGTCTCTGGACAGGCCTTCCTCATTCCACCTGCACCAGCAGAGCTGGGTGTCAGCCAGCAGTTAGGGAGGCTTTGAGAACTCTAGAAGAAAACAAGTAGAATGGACTTTATGGAAACATAAGAGATGTCAGAGTATCCAACCATTTGGTCCACTTGACAGGCCAGCTATAATTACAGTCTGAAACTAACTCCTCCTATGAATGCAGTCACTTTTCTTTGAAAGAGAACAAAGAAGGGAAAAATGAGTACAGGCACAAATTAGATTGTTGATAACATTTTTGGGAAAAAAATGATACTTTTATGAAGTCTAATTGTACTAGGTACATAATGGTAATAAAATGTAAATTTGGTTCATAGGATTTGTTGTCTACCAGTCGGGCATTACCAGTTGAAGTTATCTAAATTTCGGCAGCCATATTTTGAGCTTTACATATTTGATGTTGTTCTTACGATTCTTAATGTCCACTTGGTCACAGTCTGTGAAGGCTCTATGTGTGTTACCATTGTTATTTCACTGAGTAATGGCTAATTTTAAAGTTGAGGGGCATTTCATTTTCTTGTCTACATGTTTAGCATCATCAATCAATAGCATTGATTAACATCGTGTATTTTATTTGTCCCTAAAGCTTGTGGTTAAGATGCATTAAAAATAACTAGCAAATTTTAATTTATTGCAAGCATGTGTTGTTGTTCATGTTATTTT